GGCTGTAGAATGGTTTCAAAAACATTGGCCATGGTTAGTGAAATTGGGGGCATTCATATCTGAGTGGGATAATTGTGGCCTGAGGTACTCAACCCTGATGCACGTTCTACATTTGTGCTGTGGGAACGGCACAGTGGTAAAGTGCAGGAGTGCCACAGTTATTTGTCCTGGTGACAGAGGGCTAGATAAAGATCAATTTCTGACATGGATCTCTGTGCCTGCATTCCATAAAGCCTCGGTCACTTGTCAAAAGCTGTGTGCACAATGGTCGCTGAGTGAGAAGGGCTGCACTGAGATCCAGTCTGCTGGTCACCATTTGCTTACTTTGCAAACTGCATTGAGAATCGCCCCTAAGAAAATAGTTTACTCCTAGAATAAGGATATTCAGAATTTTATTAATTAAGCTGATATGATTGCTACCACCTTGTCTTATCTGTTGTAAAGAAGAGATTTTTTTGCTTTACTGCTTTACTTTGCTTTACTGCTGCATTAGCTTTTGTGCAAGGCTGCATGCCTTCTGTAAGATAAGCAAAAGGACTTGCAGGATTAAAGAATTGATTTTAAATGCTTGCTTGTTCCATGTGAACTAAGATATGTGATGGAGACCTCTTAAAACCACAAGAAGAATGTTCTGTTAGATGTTGTTATAGATGTAGCTGTTGAATTGTATTTCCTTTTCTAAAATGAATGAACGTAGGAAATGGTGAAGTAGAATAGTGCTAAATGTCCCATTACAATAGGAAGGAACAAGTAGTCGAGTAGTCGTGGGAATTCTCAGCTCTGTATTTTTTTGTGCTTTATATGCATTAAAATTTTACCTTATGAGGATTTAGCTTTGCTTTAAAAATAAGCTGGAAGGGGCTGGATCAATTAGATACTTTAGAATGAACAATTCCATATTAAATTTGGAACAATTGCCAGAGAAGACCAATGAGCTTGTGATCACTGCTTTTGCTTGTCTAATTCTTCCTTAGTACAGGATAGCTATGTTCTGAAACTAGATGGGGAGGCTGTGTGCATTAGTTTACTGTGGAGTACATGATAATTGTCTTGATAATTCATCATCCTTGTGTCTGGTTCAAAATAATTACACTTCTGATGCTATTTTTCTTATCTTAACACATTTTGCACAGGAGACTATCTTTTAAATGCAATATATGAAACAGAAAGGGATCCTGTATTTCTTAAGTACCAAATCTCTGCTGTCTTCCACTACCTGATTTCTCCTGAAAATAAAGTTACTTCGAACTTGCTAGAAGCTGAACCCATTGTGTTGGAAATAGATGAGAATAAGAACAGTTGGCTAAAGTTTCATCTGTGGTGAACAGTTATGTTTTTCTTGGCTATTTTCAAAAAGAAAAACAAATTGTCAGTCAAATTTCCTGTTCTCCGTTTTTGGAATCTGGCATAAAACCAGTGAGAGTCTTCAATCCCTATGGCTCTTGGTTCTCCAAGAAAATATACTGCCCACTCAAAAGAAAATTGTGTGGAACTTCATGCTCATTCCTGCATTTAAAAAAAAAGGGGAAAAAAAAAAAGATTTCTTAAATTTCCTGGTCATCTAGTATGGTCTTTTGTAGTTTTGAAATTTTATTTGGAATGAACGTGGAGTAATTATGTTCATGATTTCTTTAGGGAATTTGGGTATTTTGCAATCTTTTTTCTAGTACTGGTGAATGCTAAAGCACTGCCCCGAAGTATCTTTAATTATGTGGTAATAATGGAGAGATGTGGCATTTATTTATTTACTTATTTTTCCAACTGGAATTGCCATTAGTGTTCAGTTTTCAAAGACATGACAATCTTAAAAGATCTGCTTAGCAATGAAATAAGTATGGGAAGTCCTTCTGAAAATGTGAGAAATGCTCTGTACGTGGAAATACTTGCAGTTGAATATCAGTAATAGTGCTAATGGGTGAAGTTCTTAAGAGATTACAGAAGCACTTCTAGATTTCAGGCATACCTTTGCTAACTGTGAATGTGAAACTTAATAAAACTGTTAAAAGCATGATCTTAACTTAGACTGCGTACTCTCTCTACTTCTCTCTTTAACAATGTACTTTCATTAATAATTAATTGCTGGCCTGTACTTTCCTGTAGAGATGTGTATTGGAACACAGGGAAAATTTGGTGAGAAGTTAAACAAAAAAGGCTGTAAATGAAAGAAATGTTTTGGTCAGTTGTAAAAAAATATATGTGTGTGTGTGTGTGTGTAACAAATACCATACTTTCAAGCCATTTCAATACCTTTTACATTTTTTTTTCTTTCTGCCACCTTCCTTCCTTCCATTACTTTTATTACTTTCCAAAAGCAGGTTTCCATAACTTAGATATTTTTTAGCTAACTTTTTATTTGGCAGCTCTGTGATATTAAAGCACAAGGAGAAAGACAAAGTCAGGTAGCCAGTGATAGGCCTCATACACTATGGACAGTTTCTTGTTTTCAGTTGGACTAATTGTTTGCATTTAACCTACAATTTGGGCTGCCACTTGCCATATATTTGTTCCTACCCTATGAAGAAATGAGTATGAGGCTTAGTTATTTTAGTTCTTATCGCCTATCAAAGATGAGCATCTCCTTTGTTTGTTGTCATAATATAAAAAGAATGCAAATTCTGAAGTTAAGACTCCTTGAAGTAAGACACCAGGTAGTAACTTCTCTTTGTTTAGCTTCTGATGTATCCAGTGCTGTGTGTTAAGCATAGGACTGAGTTGAGAGGCCATGGATGAATTCATGAGTGACTCAGCCTAGAAGGTGTCCTTCACCTCTGTTGTGTAATGGGGGTTCCAGCAGCTGTCACACAAGCCACAATGACTTTTCTCTGCTTCTTCAGCCTTACTGATGTGACATTAGCTGAGCTGTATCCAGGAGGAAGATACAACTTTACTCTAATTTCCAGAAACTGTGAATTAACCCATTCTGCTATCCCATCTAATAACAATATGTTAGTAGGGACGTCATCAGCACGTTAAGTTCCTTGTACCATTATTCCCAACAGTTATTTAACATACATATTTATATTTAACATTTATATTTATGAACATATATTTATTTAATGTGTATTTTATTCCCATTTATTTTTGAAGGCACGTTGCACGGGAAACGTGGTATTTGAAGGCTGTTGTTTGGCTGCAGAGAACTTGTGTGCTGTTGTTGCTTGTGAAGATGGAGCTTTGTATACAGTCAGTGGCTGTGTTGGTCACTTGCAGCTCATATGGGGTGCTCCACAGTGGTGAATTTCTCACATAAAACCACAGAAAAATAACCGTGCTGTGGAACTGCACCTCTTGCAGAACGATGATGCAGATAAAGCACCAGGGCTTTGCTGGCTGTGATACTATTGCTTTCTTATAAGCACCATAGGTCATTTTGTGTTTTACTATTAGAGATTAATTTCTCACTTCTTAGTGCAGTTAGCTGGGCTTGTCTCTTCCCCTCCCCTTTTGTTACTCGGCTCTGATTTATGCAGTGTTTGAGTTTGTAAGTGTCCTGTGGCTTCTCCGTTTTATTTGGAAATTTAGCATTTTACAACCTAAAACAAAAGCTATCAACACATTTTGTTTGAAATGCTTCATATTTATAGTTCCCTAAAATTCTCTGTTGCCTTTATCTTCACAGTCACATGGGAACTTGGAGGGAACACACACATCTATAATGCCAGTGTTGCAGATTTAAAAATAGTTTTCCTCCACCAAATGCTAACAGCTGGTTGGCTTTGTTTCCAGGCTAAAGATGCATTGTATAGTATTTTCATTTTCCCCTTGTTGCCAAATGCTAATGGATCGAGTTTTACTTAGTAAATTCTTTTGTAAAAACTAATTACACTTCAGCAGCGTTTCTGGGAGGCCTTTCACAACTCCAGTCAAGCACCTATTGCCCCATTTCACAGATAAATACACGGAAGGAGAAAGTGGATGAGGGGAAGTGTTTTGAGTTGATTTAAATGACAGGGAAGGTAATCCCCACTGCACAAACCAAGGATTGTTTAGGCAACGTGAAGATCTTGGGGCATTCGAGAGAGCAGGTGTCAAAAATTGTGCTCCCACCCTACAATAAACCACTTAACTTTCTTGGGTACTTTTAGCTGAATTAAATCAGTGCAAGTACCACGGGGAATCTACTGTTGGCATATTGAAACCATGACAACTGCGTATTGAAATCACTGTCATCTTCATTAGTGAGTGGTGAAAAATGTCTAAACAGTTCAAGAAAGAAGGGATTTCTGACAGTGCTTTCCAACATCCGTTGTCTCAGTGGTGTGAGTGCTCATCTACAATGAGAAGTTATTTCTGAAATGAGTAGGATGTGATAGCTCTTCTATTTACAACCCCCACTTCGTACTGAAGCACTGAGTTATCTTACCATCTTACAAGAAACGAATCTGCCATTTTACTTCATTTTAAAAATAATTCCGAAATCTGTGGCAGTTCTGTTAAAGCAGTATTGCTGTCGTAAACAGGATTCATACTGTTTACATTCTGGCATAAATGCTGAGACAACTAGTGCGAAACACAGACCTGGGAGTTAATAAAGTAACAGATGTCCGTTGTGTTCATGTGGAAATAATTATATATTGCGTTTTTAATGGAATAAAATCAACGTATTGTTTTTGATTAATACAGTAGGCTTTCTGGTCATACAGGGATTAGCATCATGTGTGGTATAAACCTGAAAGTTAGTTTATCATGTGTTGTGTGGTGTGGTGGGGATCAGTTTCAGAGATGCCTCAAGAATGCACACTAAACTGAATCCTTTTGACATTGACCGTAGTACTAGATAGATTAATTGTATGGCCAGATGGACTTGAAATTACCTTGGGTATACAAAGGAAAAATCTAGATAAATGATAATTCATTTAATAGCCTGTGGTTTGTGTTTATGGAAAACAGAATTCCTCAGGACCTTCTAAAGGAAAATAAGAGTGTGCCAAATGTAATTTCAGTGTTGAGTGTTCACGGATGGTAAAATTATACTTAACAGAAGTTTGTAATTATTGCAGGTAATAGCTCTAGCAGATGCAGCAGAAGAAAATCAAGCCAACATGTTCCAGGCATTCACAAAGTTGAAAAGTGCCACCCATCTTGTGATTATGCTGATCGGCCTATGGCAGAAACTCAACGCTGATCAAGTTGCTATTATGGAAGCTACATTTTTGCCATTAGCAGAAGATACACAAGAGCTGGTAAGAATCTGAGAATCTGTAAGAATTACATGAAAAATGCTAATTTAAGAAATTTCTCTGTGTTCTTTGTTGTTTTGGGGTGGGTTTTTTTTATTTTTATTTTTTTGAAGTAGGATTCTGATGCAAACTACATAATTAAACAAGTTGAAAATTTGGACAAGTAGTAGAATAGTTCATGAAAAAATAACAGTTAATTCCTACTTAACGAATCCTTTCTATTAAGACAGCTAGGACTGTCTCCCATAACAACTCTGGCTTGCGTTAGCACTAACAATTAGATGGAAGCTAACAGAATAGTTCTAATTTTTTGAAGACACTAATACAAATGCTATGTGCTATATTTACATGCCTGTGTACTTGCACACACACATTCATAGAATCATAGAATTTTTAGCATTGGAAGAGACTTTTTAAGGTCATCTAATCCAACTACTCTGCAACAAACCAGTGATCCCACAGCTAGATTAGATTGCTCAGAGCCTGGTCCAGCCTGGCCTTGAATATCTCCTGGGATGAGGCATCCAGCACATCTCTAGGCAGCCTCAGCACCCTCACTGTAAAAGACTTTTTCCTTATATCCAACCTAAATCTCCTCTGTAAGTTTGAAAACATTTCCTCTTGTCCTGTCATCACAGACCATGCTAAAGAGTCTATCCTCTTCTTTTCTGTAAGCTCCACTTTAGGTACTGATTCCAGTATAATAACTATAATGAATAAGCATGTACACGCAGTCATGATGTATTCAGTCTTGTAATTAATCATTGGCCACAGTTTGTCTTTAGTGTTATTCTGCTGGTTCATGTAATGAACAAACTTTATCCAAAGAAAATACTATGCCTTGATAACTTGCTTATTCTTCTTACCATAGATTGTCTGACATCACGCAGATACTTTGCAAATTCTCCTCTGATTTAATAAGTGTGAGATTATGTAAAAAATCTGGAAAATTTTCTGTATCTAATAAAAATACTCTTCTTTGATATAAGGTCTCCAGCTAAACGATATTACTTCGACAAACGAAGTAAGGAATATTCAAAGGCTTTTAACAGCTACAGATTAATATTCAGTGAGTTTCAAATCCAGCCAGCCACTGGATTCTAGGATAAAGTACTTAAACAGTACTTATTAGAAGATAAACAAGCTCTATTAGCACACCTCTTAACACAGTTTCTTTTAGGTACCCAAAATTTGAAGTATACTGCATAACTGTTTTTCACAGACAAAATAACTATAAGAAAAAATAAAAATTCTCTTAGTACACTCTAATTTTAATTATATTGCTCTGCACAGAACTTTTGCAATATACGGTGAATTCAGACTTCAGTACATACCCAGAATACTTAGAATGGTTTGTGGCTATTTTAGAAAGTTTGTGCTGTGTTCCAAGTGGACTACAAGTGGTCTACAATTTCAGCTGGGGAAAAAAAATAAAGTATGTTTTGGCATTTTACATGATACTGACCCATAGGAGGCAAAACAAAACAGTTTTAATGAGATTTGCTTTGGATTTGAAAACTATGCTGCACAACTGAGATGTATGCACTCACATGAATGGGATTGAAAGATGGTTCACACGAGTCTCATAAAAGCCCAAACGACCACTTTTTGCTTGACTCACTTTTATTTTGCCATCAAAGATCACATTGAGTCTGACACATTTTGGTAAATCGTGGGGAAATCTTTTGCATATCTATAATATAAGATACCAGCTTAATATGCATCTCAATGTCATTTTAATATGGTAGTTCACAAGAACCCATGTTAAAGCCGTAAGACCCCACGTAAATACTGTAAAGGTGTTCATCCCTCAGAGCAGCCAGGATGAAAAATGTAAACCTGCAGTAACTGGAGGTGGAAATTGAAATGGAACCTTTACAAAGTATTGAAATACGTGCCATATTGAAGTTGTTATGGAACCGCAGAACTCTGAATATAATTTAAGGAGAAGTTAAGTTAGGCACGGGAGGGAAGGGGGGAAATCTTATGACATAAAAAATGGTTTTTATGGACAGAAGCTCCTAGCTGGCGTTCCTGTTTCCTTGCAAGCAGTTGAGTGGAACTGTAATGAAAGAAAGTACTCTAAAGGATTTTATTTACTCAAACAATTCTGCACAATGGCTTGTTGTATTTTTATTTGGAGGAATGTTTTAGAAGATAGTTTGGGTGCAGCGTAGCTTTCCAGAGTATTTTCTGCTTTGTGAACATTAAATTATGAAAGTGTTTTTTTAAATAAAAGGGAAATGTTTAGAATATACTGTTACTGTAAAAAGAAATGCTTCTCTGACCATAACATTAACATTATTCTCATACATACCATTCCATTTAGAACAGATCGCATCTTGTTTTCTTGACCTTGCAGTCACTCCAGTCTGATATTTAGCAAATAGAAAAGAGATGTTTTGAGTTCCCATTGTCAACAGTTTTTTGTATAAGTTGTCTGTTTCTACAAAGGCTTAAGAAAATGCTTGTCTATAAAGATAAAGCCACAGTAATACTACAAGATTTCAAAATGAGGTACTACAAAATGAAGTCGGGCTTTTCCTTTGTATTTTAATGATGTGATCTTTAGGCTTCTGAAAATACCTCTGATTTTTCCATTCTGTTGTGTTTTCTTACAATTTAATGCATATTCTAGGAACAACTGATTTTAGGCATGATATATTTTATTTCCTGGAATAAATTTCTAATTAACACTTGAATAGCATTTCTTAAATTAAGCTGATTAAAAGGATAGCTCTTGTTCAGTACTGGAAATTTGTGGGCATCCACTGTTTTTAGTGATTCTTTCATGAATATCACAGAGTATGGGAAGCAAAACATCAGAAATTGCATGAGATCTCTCAGATCTCTGCTTTTGTCCAGTGAGTTAAATAAGGAGCTTATTCTGTCAAGGAACTTGGGTGTACATTTGTTCCAATGTACTTTTATTTTTTATTTTTTAACTATTGCAGTAGCCAACATTCAGAATATAGAAGTATATACTGCCAGCATTTCTGATCATAGTGTTGCAGTTCTGTGCAAGCTGTACTTTAAAAAGTATGCCTGTTTAGAATCTGTGTTGGCTTCATTAGCTGTTGAAATATCTGACAGAATATGGCAGAGTTGTTTTGGTAACAGGAGAGACCATGATCAATGTAATTATATAGATGGTTTGTCAGAGATTTTATTATGCATATAAAGCTGTTCTGTAATATTCAGGAATTAACTTAAAACAGGCAGTGACAGCAATTTGAATTACTAAAAAATCTGAAAATAGCAAGGAACATTTTAAGGGTTGTTTTTCAGTCATTTTACTAAGCTGAGTCATCTGAATGAAAAGAGATGCTTGAAAAATGCTGAGTTTGTGATAGATTGATAGTATGTTAACAACAGAAAATCCTTTTGGGAAGACAGAGAATTTATCCAAGCTAATTTAAGAGGGTTTAAGGGTTCACATCATACATGATAGCTTTGATAGAATGATTGCATGGTGTTTGGACTGACTGAATACTCAGTTGTCTGATCATTAAGCTATTAATACTTTCTTTTTGCTTAACATACTACAAGTGGAATACATTTCTGTTGATATTAATGTTACAATTTTAGGATTGATGGAGTGCCCTCAACAGTATAGCCATCAGTGATAACTTCCCTCAAGAATAAATGTCTTCATAGTTCTCTTGATGTTAGATATGCTAGAAATGCTTTTCATTTCTCAGAATCATCCCTTTGTAGTACCATTCATTATACTATAGCTAATAAAGCTATAAATTGGCTTTGAGGAAGCACACTTTAATCCACTTTTATTTACATTTGATATCATAGCAACCAAGTAAATGTCTGTATTCTATCTTAACTTCTTATTAAGTTGTAATTTGGAAGGAAAAAATAAATGCCTGTAAGTTAAATGCATCTACTTATGTGACTCTGTGATCTAGTTTAATAAACTGAAGTTAAGGACTATAAATTTACTTGTATAGTGTTGATTGATAAAGTAGAAAAATAAATGTTAGGCAATGATGAAAAAGATAAAACATGAACAGAAAATCACAAAGTGCCTTGAAGGAGTCATAGGAGTCAGTATCAAAATCATCTGTGCTTTCTTTAAGAAGATGTTCTGAATGTAAACCACCAGAAAAGGATCAGTAATTTGGAAAAGCTGGGTAGTCTGCTAGGCTTTATGCATGATAGCAAATGGATTTTATTGTAGACTTCTTGAATAACAGAAAATTTCAGTTTGGAGAAAGAGTCCTTTACTGACTGAGAATTCTCAAGATTAAAGATAAGGTTAATTCCATAATTCCAGGAGGTTTGATTCTGTCAAGACTAACAGTATCCAACTTATTATTTTCTTTTTTTTCCATAAATGTTTATAACTGCTGGGACTTTGAGCCAATAATTACATCTTTGAGAAGAATAATTTTCCTGAACCCTAATCCTTAGAATTTCTAATAAATTGTCACTTCTCAATAATTCTGTAATTAGAGTATAGACCAAGATAGGTCTTAATCATGGTAACATGCATCTGCAATCGATTTTTATGCATCTTATTTTCTATACTTTTTCTGTCTGTTCTAATTACTTTTGAAATGCAAAGCTCCAACTATGAAACAGACAAATACTTTAAAATAGGCTGGGATATTTTAAATTATGTTGCTTGCCATGAGCTAGTACAAATTGTCATTTGATACTTTGTAAATGCACAAAAAAAACCCAAACTCAACCAAACAAACCAAAATAAAAAACAGCAACAACAAAACCACGAAGTGATGGGCAGTGACAAGTAGTAATTTGGAAGTACATTTCCATGTAATTGTATCAAGATCCCTTGTTTGCCTTGAAGAGACACGTTTATAGCAGATAACCTTTTTCCTCCCGTTCTTCTGTCCAGAAACAGAATGAATGATACAGCAGGAAATACGTCGTTTTTGTGCGAGAAGCATGTGGTATTTTTTTCCTTGCTTTCCAGCTGGTAATAATAATTAACATTAAACTCTGCCCATCTATCACTTAAAAAAACA